AGGACTGTTGCACTCCCCGAAAGTAAACAGATGATTTTTTTCTTCAAGTCTTGCCGATGGTCCTTACGGGGCAACCTCGTTTTCTCTCGAATCGTCCTTCGGATTCTCCTCATTTCCCGCCGGAAAGCTCGAGGTCGTCTTCGTTCCCAGGACGAAAATGCAACTCGATCGAGCTAATCCTTTTTTTTATCGATGGTTTTGACTACTCACGTCACGAGTACGGACCGCCTATAGGAGATAGGTCTATCGAATGAATGAAAAAAGATCTGCTGCGTCAGGCCCGCAGGCAGAGAGCGCCTAACCTTGGAAGCAAGGCTGTCTCCGTAGCTGCTCTGTGCGTATTTCCCATCGAATCTCACACAGTGGCTGCCTCCACTTCATCATTCCAGAAGAGGAGAAAATCCTAAGGCTTCGTATAAAGGTAACTATATCTTACGTGCTCGCACTCCATACAAACCCACGTGATATCAGCGATGTACGATGTTGCTAAATATTATGACTATTTTGGTTTCATGAACTTGGGTACTCAGTCTCCGCTGCTTTACAATGAAGTGATGAAAATTCATAGCTTGAAGAAGCTTTCCGTGTTAGAAATTGAGAAATAGAGTTCGCCTACGGTCACCGTAGTGTCCGTACATATCGATGCCGTGAAAGGTCGGAGCCTTGGATTTTTTCCTTCTCGAAGAACTACCCGTAAAATGAGGACTATTCAGTCTGAAGATGTTTTGGTCCTAAGAGCCGGATGTTTTGTCGCAAGACCTTGATGCGATCGGGATATCTCCTGTGATCAAATTGTAAGGAATGGCATTTCATGCAGAAAAGTTGCGCAGTGAGGAGTTCCCGTCGCCATTCAGTGACGTCGGAACTGACTTTGGAAGATGGTGCTCGAGCATAATGGAGGTGTCGAAATCTGCCAGAGCGTTCTCCCGTAATTGTTGCGACGGTGCGAGCACGAGCAGAAAACAAGTAAACCAAGAGAGATCCCCCGGAGAAAGGATCAGTAAAATGTCTCTTAAGAAAATAGTTTTGGGATGAGGTGGAATCCCCACATTGGAGAAACTAACTGGTAACCGATCCTAACAGTGTCGGATCGGTTAAAAAAAAAAAAAGATGGCAATTCTATTCGGGAGGAACTAGTCATGTCTCGCGTACTTCTTTTTTAAAGTGAAATGTAGATTTGCATAATCAAATATTATGTTGTAAACGAGTTAAAATTAGTTCCTTGTTTCCAGCATTATTTTTCTTCCGGAATCACATACTGACTCGAGGAAATACTCATTCGGACTTGATTAATAATCATGATGTTAAGATAATTATTTTCATATTAATCCCTATCTTTTGGCAATAAACAGGGCTTACATACAAATTATATGTTCCTTTCTGCATTATTTCTAGGGTTTAAAAAAGATGACACTCCACATCCTGATGTGGTTCGTCCTTCAATTTCTGCTGCTGCCTTTTGCGAAACCCGCCTACGAGGTCATAAGAGACTACAAGGGTCGCGAGTGCACCAGGGAATGCTCCACGCAAAACAACGGGTACGACGGGACATTTCGTTCCAAGTTTCGTTGCAAGTCCGACAGCCCTTGCTCGAAGCACGGCCATTACTTCAAGCGGTGCTACACCGAAGGCGGGGGCTGGTACTACTGCGGGGACGTCAGATCTGACGACCATCTTGTGCTCACACAAAGGAGTACAGAACAGCCGAAATGCATTGGACAGGTACAAGGTCAACCTTGGAAATTGTGCCCGGAATGCACTAAAAAACTTCCAAACGGACAGTACCGTCTACTTTACGGTAGGAAACCAAAGAAAGAAATGGTGGAAACTAACAAGAAAGACAGACAAATAATTAACAATTTCATTGCCACCTTTAAAGAGGATGTTATACGTAGCAAGAGCTCTGGAAAGGAAAAAGGAATTATATACCCTGGCCGAGATGTTGGATGGCGTTTAGACAAGCAGGGAGATTTTCCGGTCGACGCCCAGCGCTATCTCAACCTGCAGATTCAGAAGAATGTGCTTCGGAACGACGGCAAAGGTACAACCGTGTCGCAAGTCGCGGTGTGGACGGAAGCGAGTTACTCGTCGGAGGACTTGCACGCGGCCTTCAGAATGAGTTTAGAGAAGAAGGAGAACGTCTGTTTGATTTTGGATAAAAATAGTGAAGCAATATGTCCCCTGAAGTGACGCATCAAATTGCAGGCTTGCAGTTGTAAATGGCATTCTTGATATTGGGGTATACACGCTTTCCAATAATACATTCGATCGTACCAATATAATTGTATGAATTCCCTTGGTTTTTTTAAATCATTGTAAAATGGTTTCCGTTGTGTACTCAGAACACGCAATCAGGTATATACGAGACAATGTACCGCGCGCATTTTGGGAAATGATTAATCAGGAGCAGTAAAGACTACAGATTAAATAACCTCAGGAGCAGTGAAGAAACTAAATGGAGGATAACAACACAACATCAACATGAAGAAACTGGTTTCTTGAAGTTCCTTAAAATATGGATAACAACGAAATTAATTTTTAAAATGTCGAGATTATTCACAATACAAATTTCGCTTGTACCAGCAGCCTGTCACACGCC